TTAATTTCATCCAACTTATTAACAATAGGAGTGATGCTATTTCTTATCGCTTCTTTTAAATCTTGTTTTAGGTCCGTAGGCATCTCCTGTAAATGCCTTTTAGTTAAGGAGTCTTCTCTTTTCCTTTTACTTGTCCGGGCTTCTTCTTCCTCCAATTCTAATGGGGGGGGGAGTCTTCATCAGAAGAGTTTTGGTTTTCTTGCGGTGTTCTAGGCATCGGTTTGGAGGGTTCTTTCCACCTTTTAGTCCCTTGGTTTTCCCCATAGTTTTGGTAAGGTTATAATATTTGAGTCCTGATTGGGAAGAATAGCAGGGTATAAACAAGTACTATACCAGTACAAACAAACAACAAGCAGCATACCACTCCATTGTTAAAAGATCTTCCTTCGCGCCTATGCATTTGGGGTCTGATTTCACAGTCCAATTTTGACCTATAAAGGCTAATGTACCCTAGTACATTACTTAGAAGGGCCACCTGGCCCCATATAATCCCACCCGGACATTATGTTCTTCATGTCATCACTCCCTTTTGATCAGAAGCTATGTAACCATGAAGGATGGGTCCATTCAGTGAGTATGCTGCACCATTTTGGAATACTCTTGGCCTTCCCTTGTACCTGGCACCATCTCTGAGCACGTTTCAGCATCAGACTAAGACTGCCTCTACTGGCATTTAGTTGATCATTGAATGATTTTTTGTTTTCTCCTTGTTCTAATCTTGGCTCTTTTATGATCTTAACTAGGGATAGGTATGGACCAGAAAAATTGAGGTTCGTATAGGTTCATGGTCTGTGGGTTTCATGCACCATGGATTTTTATGGATCTTTTTGTTTAATAGACCAGTCAGTGGTGCGTGTGGTTTCTGAATTTGTGATGCAGTAGAACACCCCCCCACAAGCTAGATGCCAAACTCGCAGCAAGTCTCCAGCTTACTCTCTTCTACCTGCCGTACAAGTTTGGTGAAGATTGAATTTATTGGGGCTGAGTTACTCCAATGCCCCTTGGAAGCTCATTAGATGAGCTTGTAGAGGATTGGTATAATCGACTCTTGACAGCCATTGATGAGATTGCTCCCTGATGCTCTCTGCGCCCTTGCTCTAGGCTCACTCCATGGTTTACCCAGGAGTTGCAGCTGATGAAGGCTAAGATGGCTACAGAGACAGTGGTGGAGCGCTCACAATGACGCTACGAGAACATCTTATAGGACGTTTATGAGATCCTATATGGTGGCAGTCAAAGCTGCCAAGAGAGAGTATTACACAGCTGCAATTGTGTCTGCAAGCTCTTGCCTAGCCCTATTGTTTAGAACAATTCAGTCCATTACTGCTTGGCCGCAAGGCAGACCAAATGCTAGGGAATCGACTATAGGCTGTGAGGCCATTGCGAGCTATTTTGCAGATAAAGTCTTGTCACTCCACTGTGACCTTCGTGCTATAGTTGACATAGTGGGCAAGCTCGAGGCTCCATGCATGTCTTCTAGTCAAGTCATGGATCATTTCAGTCTGCTCAGCCTAGAGGAAGTAGACAAATTGCTCCTAACTGTGTGCCCTACCACTTGCTCCCTTGACCCGTGCCCTTCATGGCTAATTAAAGCTGGCCACAAGGGGTTTTGAGATGCCTTGCGGGAGATTATCAACAAGTTCATCTTGGAGGGACTGTTCCCTGAGGCACTTAAGAAAGCCGTGGTCTGGCCTCTCTTGAAAAAGCCATCTCTGGACCCGGCCGAATTGGCTAACTATCAGACGGTTTCCAACTTGCCCTATTTGGGCAAGATAATAGAGAGGGCAGTGGCAATTGTGTTACATGGCTTTTTGGATGATGCTTCCATTCTAGACCCCTTCCAGTCCGGCTTTCACCCAGGCCATGGGACGGAGACGGCACTGGTCGCCCTCACGGACTATCTCCGAAAGCATCTGGATCAAGGCGGATCAGCGGTGATGTTGTTGTTGGACCATCAGCTACTGACCCACCACCTCACCAACACTGGAATCCAGGGGCTGGCCTTGCAGTGGTTTGTCTCCTTTCTCCAAGGTCGAGGACAAAGGGTGGCACTGAAGGAACAGCTATCCTGGAGGCACCCACTGGATTGTGGTGTGCCTCAAGGGTCAGTGCTGTCCACGATTATTTTTAATATCTATGTGCACCCCCTTGCACGGAGGCATAAGCTGCTATATCACCAGTATGCGAATGACACCCAGCTCTATCTGTTGTTGGGGGGCCAGTCTGACTCCAAAACAGAAAATCTGAACCAGGTGTTACAAGACGTGCTGGTTGGCTTTGGCTAAGCCAACTGAAATTGAATCCGACACAGACGGAGGTCCTGTGCTTGAGTCGGGGTGGCCCAAGGGTAGAGCTCCCACTCCCAACCTTCAATGGGGCACCATTGGTGCCAGCGCCGGAGGTTAGGAGTCAGGGAGTGCTCCTGGATGTCTCCTTAACTATGGAGGCCCAGGTAGCAGCCACTGCCAAATTGGCCTTTTACCATCTTCGGCTGATAGGCAGTTGGTTCCCTTCCTCGAATGCAACGACTTGGCAACACTGATCCATGCAATGGTTACCTCGAGATTGGACTACTGTAATGTCCTTTACATGGGGCTGCCCTTGTCTCAAATCCGGAAGCTGCAGCTGGTGCAAAATGCCAGGCTTTTGATGGGGCTCTCTACACAGGAGCACATACAGCCTGTGCTAAAGGCATTGCACTGGCTGCCGATAGCATACTGGATTTGTTTCAAGGTGCTGGTTCTTACCTTTAAATCCATTTATGGTCAGGGATGGTACATACCTGGGGGACCACCTTCCCCACATGTCCTCCAGAGAGCACTGTGATCAAGGGCCCAGAACTGTTTGGCCCTCCCAGGTCTTACGGAGGCTAGGCTGTCGGCAACCAGGACCAGGGTTTTCTCGGTGGTGGCTCCGTTCTGGTGGAATGAGCTCCCAGAAGAGATCAGGGTCCTGCAGGATCTCTTAAAGTTCCACAGGGCCTGTAAAACGGAGCTCTTCCACCAGGCTTTTGGGAGCCGCCCCCACCATCAATAATTAACAACTAACAGTGGAATGAGAGAGGGCCCTGGATTCTTGGAATTTCCACCAAAAGCCTAAAGGACATCAACCACCTTAAGGACAATTGGAAACCAAGATTGCAAGCCGACTGTGAGTTGAGAGCATCGAATAACGGCTGCCACCATCAAATTAATGATAACGACTACTAGCAGTTTATTACATTAGATGGTTTTAGAATTGTTTTAATTGTAATTTATGTTTTAATGTAACTTATCTTTTTTATTAAAGACTAACATATGGTAGCTTGTATAAAAACCTTAACATAGAAGACAGTGCTAAACTAATACTTGAGCCAACAAATCTAGATGTAACTAATACTTTAAAATGCATCCAATAGAGCTAATCCATAACTAAAGATTAACATAACAACAGTGGATATAATTTAAAGTAAAAAGCCACATAGAAGAACAAGCCACATGAATTGAGTTAATCTACAGTTAATCTATTAAAGAAGGAAGGTATGAGAAAAGGTCGGTATGCGAAAAATAGGTAATTACTGGAAACCAAATTGAGACAAAAGTGGTGGTATAGGAATCATCATCTGTTTTTATGTAAGCCACCCTGAGCCGGCTCTGGCTGGGAGGGTGGGGTAGAAATTCAATAAATGAATAAATAATAATAAATAAGCATTCTTAGTGGAGAAGCAGTACATAAATGTTTTAAAAAACAATCATGCCACTCTAAGTTCTTCTCAAAGAAAGAGTGATAGTCTTTTATTTGTGTATAAGGATGCAGTTCAGAAGATAAATGTAAGAGTATCAATCTGAAATGACGGCTGACAAAGACAACAACTGACAATGCAGAAGTTACCACCAACAAAATTCTTTATATAATGTACAACTTCTTGACAGATTTTCAATTGAACTATATACACTTGTCAATTTATCTTTCATTCTACATAAATCTGCACAAAAACATTAAAGTATTCATCTTCAGCACAGACAACTGACAAGTTCTATAAGTAAACAATATTTATACCCATTATAGAATATTTTTCTATTCAGAAAAAGATCTGAATCATACTGAACAGTGAGCTGTGACCATTAGCCATTCAAATAAGAAAGACCTTAAGCTTTAAATTCTGATATATTAAGGGTGAATGAGGTTCATCAATCATCAAAGCAATCTGATTTGAACTTAGCCAGAGAACCTGTAGGCACTTTCCTATGTAATCACTTAAAAGATTTGTGGGTGAGGGGAGTTATAAGAAGACAAGAGGTGGACCCGCGATACTCGCGGGGGGGAGGGAGGGAGGCAGAGCGATCGTGGTGGTGCCAGGAATCGTGCGGCAGGGCTGAGGCAGCAGGGCAACGCCTCTCCCGCCCTCGCTTGAACTACCGGCCGGCGGCAGCCCCCTTGCTGCCCCCTCCCCGACGCAGGCCCCCCTAGCGCGCTCAGCCCGCGACGGTCCGGGTCCCCCTCCCCCCGGCCAACTGAGGCGCCCCCGGCCCTGGGCTCCCTTCTCGGCGCTGGCTGGTGGGTGGGCGGGCTCCTCCTCCCTCTTCCTTGCTGGGGGCGGTCCAGGCCACCACCACCCCATATAGGGGGCAGTGTCCAGGCTCTGCGGGCGAGGCTCCATTTTGCAGGATGCTGCGCGGCTGCGGTGAGAGAGGCCCCTCCCCCTCTCCCTCCCCCTCCCTCCCTCTCCCTTTGGCCCCCGCGGGGCGGTGGGGCGGCGGCCCGCCCTGCTCTCCCCCCCCTCGCTCCAAAGCGAGGGGCCCCCTCTCCCTGCTCGCCGCTCGCCTTTCAAACGGCGGCGGCGTTCGCAGAGCGTTCCCTGCGCGTGTGCAGGGGACGCTCTTCCAGTTTCGGGGGGATTTAAACATCCCTCCGAGATTTTTTTTTCCAGGTCGGATTTTTGTGCACACGTGGGGACCGCCCCACGTGTGCCCAAAAATCTCCCTGCCCCCCAGGTGGCCCGGGAACGCGGATTTAGATATCCGCACAGATGGGGCCACTTGGGTATTAGTATAAGGATGGCAAATGCAACTCCCAGACTCAGCAATACAGCTGAGGAAAAGAGCTTTACCCCCACAAAGCCAGCCTAAATGCTACACAGAAATATTTTCATAGGCTTGATACTATGGAAGGACCTAATCTTGTACTTGAAGAAAATTTTATTTGTTGAATGGTGATGGGCAAATGGCTGTCTGGGACCTTTCTATTCCATTTTCCTTCCTCTCCTTATTTTCAATGGTTTTAACTCATTCTTGCAATCTGCTCAGATTGGAAAAATTCTCCCGAGTTGGGAGCTTTTAAAAAAAAAAACCCAGAGTAATATATTTCTGCATAGATGATAAATCCTGCACATCTACCAATGTCTCTACCTCATCCATATTAGTTAGCATACAACTGTCAATTTTACAAACTAGTAGACCTGGGTTCAGATCCCCATTCAGCCATGAAGTTTACTGGCCAGTCACACTTTCTCTCAGCAAAACTTTTTTTCAACAATGAAATTCTTGCCAACACCATCTCAGCAGAAGGTATGGATGGTGTCAGATCTTTTCTGCTTTGCCCTTTTCCCAGCAGCTATTTCCAATCACAATTTTATTCTCAGTGTTGTGGGACCTAGGTGGAGAAATAGCCAGGCATCTCAGTGAGTTGTAAGCAAAAAGAGAAAAACTGCCTTTCCTGCCTCTTTTGTTAAAGGAGCTGCCTCTTCCTCTTCAGTGAAGCTCTGCTGAAAAAGAGGGTGCCCTGCCCCTTCCTCCTACACACTGTAGCCCATCAACCCACACGGTATTTACCACGTACAAATGCCACAATCCCAGGAAACAAATTATACAGGGTCAGAAGGGACTGTTGGGATGAGGGTGCAAGTGGGAAAGATCTGCAGTGTTTTTGCAAGAGTGGATCACTGCATCCAAACCTTTGTCTGGAAGCCTGGATCAGTATCCACTCCAAGAAGTCTTTTATCTCCGACAATGAATAGTTTATAGCTCTGGGGCATCGTTCAATTTAGATTAGTACACTGAGCACAAATGTATTTCACAGCCACTTGCCTCCTTCCATTTTTACCTGCATACAGACGAGAAATATGGCAAACATGATGATTCTTACTGGGATTTTTAAAATCAAGAATTATATAGGGTTGCTAAGCTTTCATCCAAAAATTCCCTTTCATCAATAAGATACCTCACCTGTTTAATCAATAATTTATCATTTTCCGAAGAGAGTCATAGCATTTCCATTTGTCTGGGATATAGAATGGTTCAAAAATGTGAGGGAATGGAGTATCATAACCACAGACTCTTGAAATAGGAGCCTCTAGATTCAAGAAACACTCCTCCTGTTAATGGGGAAAAAAGAGACATTTTCAAATAACATATTTCACATTTTAATACTTGCTGAACTATTCAAATTTGAGCATCTTGGTATTTTAAGCACACAGTTAACAAACAATATTTGTTAACATAAGAATGACCAGGACCCATCAGATGAGATGACTTTTCAAGAAGTTTAGACAGCTTAATGGAAAACGGATCTAATGACCATTAGCAGTAATATCTAAAACAAAACATGCTCCTTTCTGGTTACCTGGTGCAAAGGTCAAGCAGAAGGATGGGTTACTGCCATCATGTTCTGTTTGGGCCTTTGCTGAAGAAAGAATGCTGGACTAGATGGAGCTGGGTCTGACCCAGCAAGGCAATTCATACATTCTTATTCTTAAATCTGAATTGTAGTAAATTGTTTGCAAGATTACTTAGTATATACAAACACTGGCACTAAACAAGACGTATCAATGGAGTGTACATTTCTCATGACACATTCAAACAAGAAGTGTAAATCAAACAGTACATGAGTACTGTACCCTGTAAATGTTCCATATCAAGGAAATGTAATTTCATAAACTTAAGCTGAAAACTGTATAGAAGATGAAGCAACATTTGAAATTAATAAAACAAGCAGTTACTAAGAATTTCTCAGTTACATGGTAATCATTTTCCTTCAAAACTGGTTAAATATAGCATAAAGTTTATTGTTCTTGATGGCACAAGTACATTTCTTTTTTGTAGTCTTAAGAACCAACCAGAAACTATTGTATAATTTTATCTATAAAACTAAACAGGTTTTACTAAGTTTCCTTACACTTTCACCCTCAGGTGTGAATCTGATCTGTTTATGTGGTAAATGTTTTCCCATGTGTGATTATTAAACTGATGGATGTATCCATAAGATCTCCACTTCTCTTTCAAGGTACATCTGGGACAGAATGTAGGAGGAGAGACTGGATCAATTTTTAAAAAAAATTGAATATTCATTATGTACTGGGGTTTCTGTTAAACCACTAGAAGACTGCTTCTCTCTGCTCCCTGGCTTTAAGATGGCACAGATTTAATGAAATTGGAGACAGAAAGAAAGGAGACTGTATGACTCCCAAAAAAGAGAAACAGTAAAAAAAATGGAACAGACCACGACTGACAGGAAGGGAGGAAGAAACAGAATAACACAACACAAGTAGGAAGGAGATAGCAAAATATGTAAATAACATTGTCAAACTACTTCCCAGGGAATTAAACATGTGGGTTGATGCAAGATCAATGTATAAAATAACTCCTTACTTATTGGAGGAAAGGTATGTGATTGATACATGCAGATCTTTTGACTTTAAAGTGACAGAAGGGGCAAAACTTCCCCATTCTGACCTGTGAAGGTATGCAGTGAAGCCTCTTATGCTACACTGATGGCTGCTAGCCAGATCTGAGACGCCTCCTTGCAAAGAGAGAGATCCCATACTGTCCTGTTTATGTAAAACATGGCTGTTGTATTGTCTACAAGGACCTTCTTCCCTTGAAGGAGCTCTGAAAGAAATGTAATGGCATATCTGATTGCTCTCATCCCCAAAAGGTTAATGTAAAGGGACGATTCCCAGTTCAACCACAGGCCTTTGATGGCAAACCCTTCACAGGGCACCCCCAACCCCATGAGGAAGGCATAAGTGAAAACCTGCATGTCATGCTCCCAGGGCCCAAAAACCATATCCTTGGTTAGATTGGCCTTGGAGACCCACCAATGAAAGGACTGTAGTACCTTCCTAGGGATGGAGAGTTTGTGGGACAGAAGGGGTCCACATTTATGCGAAAAACTCTGAGGAAACAATTTTGTAGTTCTCTCATCCTGAGCCTGGCATAGGGTACTGTGACAGTAGCTGCAGCCATTATTCCTAGCAGCTTCTGAATATTCAACTGCCCTCTGAAAATGGTTGGCTATGAAGCAAGATACCAGGGATTGAATAGTGTGGTATGTGACCTGTGGAAGAAAGACGTTTCCCTGGATAGCATCTAGACTTGTCCCTTGGACTAAGATGAGACATCTCAAAATTAAAAGGCCAAGATGTGTCAAAGTTTGGACTGCCAAACCAACTGAGGGCTGTAACTCTTATGTGGATAGTGCTACAAACAACCAGTCATCTAAGCAGGGATACACTACACATTCTTTCAATCTAAGATGAGCAATGACTGAGGATATGTACTTAGAGAACAACCTGGGGTCCACTGTCAGACTGAATGGTAGGATGCAGTACTCAAAAGCAGGAGGACCCTCACTGGGATCCGAGAAACCTCCTGCAAGACTTGTGAAAAGCTATGTGAAACCACACCACCAGTGTTAAGAGTATGTCCTGTAGAGATACCATCCTGAATTTGGCCACCCTAAGGGATCTGCTCAAGACTCTCAAATCTAAAATTGGGTGGGAGCCTCCACACTTCTGTGAGTATCTGAGCCAGTTTGGTATCTGAGCCAGTTTGGCGTAGTGGTTAAGTGCACAGACTCTAATCTGGGAGTTTGATTCCCCACTCCTCAACCTGCACCTGCTGGATGACCTTGGGCAAGCCATAGTTCTGTCAGAGCTGTTCTTGAAAAAGAGCAGCTTCTGTCAGAGCTCTCTCAGCCCCATCTACCTCACAGGGTAGCTGTTGTGGGGAGGGGAAGGGAAAGGAGTTTGTAAGCCGCTCTGAGACTCCCTTGGGTAGTGAAGGGCAGGGTATAAATCCAACCTCTTCTTCTTCTTTTATGAGGAGGAATCTGGAGAAAAACCCATCCTGGGTACCTGCTAGCAAAATCTGTCTAACAACCCCCTTAGCCAATCGGCTGACCTCCTCCTTGAGTAATGGTGGAGGGTCGGTGAACAATGATCAGGGATGGTTGTATCAGGGCAGGGAGTTGAATTCCAGAAAATAACCATGACACACTGTAGAGATAACCCAACAGTCTTCAGTAATTACCAACCAACTGGAAACAAAATGTGACAAACGGTTGTCAAAACGTATTAGACCAGTTAGTCATACAAAAGACTTTCCTTTTCCCAGTTTGCTCCCTAGGAGGACTAGACTGAGGTTTCTCCCAATGCTTATGCTGATTCTTCCTGCTCTGTGGGCCCTGCAGATAGGGAGGGCAATAGGTCTGGTAGTGCTGTTGGGCTGGCTGATAGCAGTATGGCCTATAAAATTGACCTGAATACCGTGGGAAGTACCTCAGTTTGCCTGAGGAAGCTGGAGGGGCAGTCAGGCCAAGAGATCTTGCTGTCAGCTTGTCCTTCCACATCTGCTCTAGAGCAGAATCAGTTTGGCTGCTGACAAGTCTTTGCCCTAGAAGGGCATGTCCTTGACCTTGGATTTGGTGCCTGTAGATGGGCAAATGATCTCAACTATGAGTGGCATCACAGGACACTGTTGGATGCCATGGCCCTGGAGAAACAGTTAAAGGCATGCCTTCAGGAGTTTAGCTGTTGTTTACCTAGACAGATTCCTTCAGAGTTAATCACTTTGGCCAAAGCCTATTTGTCCTTAGGGAGGATATCGACATATTGGCTCATTCGCTCCCACGGGAGCCTCTAATACCTTCCCATAACAGCCATAAAATTGCCCACTCAGGCTCATCACTCCTGATGCACAGATTTTTTTGCCAAGGACATCTAATTTACACCCCTCTTTGTCCAGATGTGAAGCATAGGACCACGCACATTGCCTAGAGTGCAAGATTTCCACAGTTATTGAGCTTGCTGTGGGATGTTGCACGAGGAATTCACACCCATTATTTTTTACTCTATAAAGGTTGTCTAGCTTCTTTGCAACTGGAGGTGTGGATGCAGGCTTAGTCCACACATTCTTGGCCATGTCCAGGAACCCCTGGAGCACGGGGAAGGCAATCAGTCCCATGGTATCAGTGTATAGGACTTGTCAGCGGGTTTCAGATGTGATGACATGACATTGAGATCCAATGCCTTTGCCATACACAGCAGCTGTTCAGTGTATATTTGCAGGTCCCCCAGTAGGTGATACTGGGAACCTATGATGTCACCAGGAGGTTTGATAGAAGGGGTGTTGGAGTTGATGTCAGATCCATAGCTGGTCAGTTCTTTGGGGTCAGATTCATATTGATCAGACATAGGTGAAGGACCTTGAATGCCTATCGACACCAAGGGAAGGTTCTGATGGTGGATGGAGGAATGGTCCACAGAGGCTATTGTCAAGTAGCTTGAGAGTCCCAATGACTCCATGGGGAAGGACACCAAGGGAACCAGGGTGCATACTGAGATTCCCATGAAAAACTAGATGAAGGTTGGCCAGAAGAATGTCCCACTGGGACAAGGTCTGCCCATGTCAGTGCTGTCTAAAGGAACCAAAACCTCTCTCATTATCTGACCAATAGATCCAAGTGGACGGAGGTGGAGTCTTCGGCTTCAATGTAGGCTGTTGAAGGTGGTGACTGGCATTGAAGGGGAGATGGCAGCCTTTTCATTTGATCTTGCCATAAGCAGGATGAGTTTGTTCTTGGTGTTTTAATTCCATCCCATGGGAACAGGCACAGACTAGTAGACTATTTCTCAGTCTTCCTGTAGTTCAGTAGGATACGGCAAAGGCAAAATTTTGGGATGGGGAGGTTTACCTCTCTCAAGTATATTTATAGTCCTCCAGATAACCATGCTCAACTAGAACTTAAACTTGGGATTTTCTAGTGAAACTGACTACTTAGTATCTTTTCTCTGCAGCTGGTCATGGCTTGATCCAGATCAGTTCTAGTTTTGAGGTCGTTTATTCATGCAGTCACAGCACATCCCACCAAGCCTACATGACGTCACCATTCCAATATGTCTCCACTTTGGTTTATTTTTACTTCCACTTGTTTTCTAATTTTGTAATTGCAGACTTTTTGCACCGTTTATTAGATGTTACACTGCTTGACTTTCTGTTCCATAATCCACCCTGAATCTCTGTGAGAAAGGAATTTATAAAATAAATACACTGTACTGAACACAACACATTCTTCTGAATGAATACTTCCACCTAA